CTAAGCTAATACGCAAAATTAAGTAAAATGACCAAAATGCCCCTCATTCCCACGCCTGGGAATCGGACAAAATTTACATTTTCGGAAACCTCGTACTCTCACGAGTCTAAACATAACAAGAACACTGAAATCGGAGTCCAAATGACCCCTCAAATCCTCATTTAAAGGCTTTTTAAACTCAAGCCCTAATTATCCATTTTTCCCAAATTTCTCATCATTAATTAGGTCTTTAATCACATAAAAACGAGTTATGAATTCAAGGACGTTACCTCCAAGCGATTCCCCTTTGTTTTCCTCAAGAATCTCTCTCAAAAGCTTCAAACCCGGACGAAAATGGTGAAAGAATGGCTCAATTTCGCAAAGGCAACTAATTATAGGTTCTCCCCAGCGATTCCCGCATTTGCGGGCCCTGGGACCGCATCTGCGGTCCCGCTTTTGTGGAAACTACGTCGCATCTGCGACATTCATTTAAATGCCAGGTTCCGCATCTGCGGAACTCCAACCGCAGGAGCGATTGCGCTTCTGCGATCAACTCACCGCATCTGCGGTTCCTGAGGAATTTCCAAATTTCGCTTCTGCGGCCACTTAGCCACTTCTGCGGCCCCGCATCTGCGGTCCCCCTACCGCAGATGCGAAAATACCAAAAGCAGCAAAAATACAGCAGCTGCAACATCTTCTAAATTTCTCGCCAACCATCCGAAATCATCCCGAGGCCCCCGGGACCTCAACCAAAGGTACCAACAAGTCTAATACCACTCCCCAAACTTGTACCAATCCTTAAAACACCTAAAACGACATCGAAACCTTAAATTAACCATGGATTCGAGCCTAAGATCTCCAAATTTCTCAAAATACGCTTTCGATCAAAAAGTCTATCAAATCTCGTCCGAATGATCTGAAATTTTGCACACACGTCTCAAATGACATAACGGAACTACTGCAACTCTCGGAATTCCATTCTGACCCTCGGATCAAAATCTCGCTATCAAACCGGAAACTTCAAAATTCGACCTTTCGGCATTTCAAGCCTAAATTAGCTACGGACCTCCAAAACACAATCCGACCATGCCCCTAAACCTGAAATCACCCAACGGAGCTAACGGGACCATCAGATTTCCATTCCAAGTCCGTCTTCACACTGTTCCGACTACGGTCAACTTTCCAACACTTAAGCACTCATTTAGGGACTAAGTGCCCCAAAACTCTCCGAAACTCAAAACCGAACATCCCGGCAAATCAAAATAGCAGAAATAAACTTGGGGAAGCAGTTAATAGGGTATCGGGGCGTAAATTCCAAAAACGACCGGCCGGGTCGTTGCAGCATACCTCTTTCGTTTCGCTGAGTCCCTGTATGCGGCCTGGACGGCCCTTCCGTGTGTTGAGGAGATGGCGGGATGGCTGTTCTGACGTAGGGTTGATGTCTTTCTCGATTGAGACGGGGGCCTGACTGATCTCTTCAACCGTCGTTACGACGATCTTTTCTCGACTCCGTTTGAACTGATGTCAACCGTTGTGTTAGACCATTAAGGTCGTCCTCATCGGCTCCCACCTCGGCGCAGTAGGCATTGTGGATTTCTTCCCAAGTGGTGGGAGGGTATTTATGAGCCTACTTAATAACTTTCTGATTGCTCTCGACCCATTCCTGTTCAACTCGTTCTGCAAAGCTGCTACCGCCATCCCTTCTGATACATTTGGTAGGCTCATTCTCACCCTGTTAATCGGGCGAGGAAGTCCCTGAGTCCCTCGCCAGGAGATTACCTAATGGCGAATATATCATTCACCCTGGCCTCCGCCTTTTTAGCCCATGCATGGGCGGTGACGAACTTGTCGGTCATTTCTCAAACATTACTATTGACCGCGCCAGCAGTTGTGAATACCAGGGTAAGGCCCCCCCGTTAAGGTTTCGCCGAACTTTTTCAGTAATACTGATGGTACTTGCTCCTTCGAAAGGTCGTTGCCCTTCACTGTTGTGATGTAGTGGATGATGTGATCTTCGAGGTCTGTAGTACCGTCGTATATCTTCATGTACAATGGCATTTTGAAGGTTTTGGGAATGGCATGTGGAGCCACTTCCTCGCTGTACGGTTGTTCGACGACCGACCAACGTCTCATTTTGGTAGCAACTTTGGGGCAGCCGGTATCTTATCGACCCTTTCTTGATGCTCCCTCATCTGGTCGCGGAGTGCCTTATTTTTGTTTTCCATTTCTTTCATTTTCTTCAGAATGGCTATCAGTGCGTCATTGCCTGCATCAACAGTGGTGTAAGTGTTACCTGTTTGGGGGGCGGAATGTTCGCCGGTGATCGTTTTGACATCTGCTTCTGCGGTGTTTCTATTCTCCCTTTGAACGGGTTTGTCGAGTATGTTGTTCAGAGTACTCGTCAGCCATTCTTCCAATAATTTCCTTACTGCTGGTGGTGTTTCCTCGGCCGTGGATGTTGACGCTCCTCTGTCGCGTGAAGCGGTTACACTTCCATGAGGGGGAGGTGAGTCACTCCGCCTGAGCGTAGCGTTTGGTGTCACATTCTCGTTGTCTTCCCTGTCATCCTTGTTGATGGTGATCAAAATATTGGTAGCGACACCTGCTATGGCTTTCTGTCTTGCCTCTCCTTTTCCTGCCATCGTTAGTTTCTACAAGCGAAGAAGAGATGGCTCTTTTTTGTGATCTAGAAGGAACTAAAATTTGAACAGAAATCTCCCCACAGACGACGCCAAATTGTTTGAGCAAATAAGTGTTAAACCAATTTGTAATGAATCAAAGGGCGAATCTTAGTTGAACTTAATAAATTCTAGAACGAATAAAATAGAGCACTTGTGTAACGAGTAGTGCTCAAGGGTATTAAATAACGGATTTATTGCACTATGATTGACAATAAATATGATAGCATAAATATGTAATAAATGTAAATAATAACAATGAATGCAATGGGAAAGGATCTACCACCCAATTATTATACGATTGGGATGCTCCTTTTCTCTGTTTGCGACATGGAAAAGTGAGAAGTCAAGATGGATATGGAATCTTGGGATTTATGGATCAAGATTGAACAACGTGTGCTTGAATAAATCAATGAATAAGACAACTTCTTCGTATATTCTTTTGTCAGCCTTTACAATATGTTCTTGTTCAAAAAAGAGGATCCTCTTTTGTTCCCTATCTATTCCTATTTATAAGGATATTCCCCAAAAACCTAAAAAGTACAGCATGAAGAATATCCAAAGGAATATTCTCCATGTCCACTTCTGAACCTATGCTACCGTTACTTTCTCATCTCGGTTGCCCGCTTTTGGTGTCAGCCTTTGTAAGAACAACCTTCAGTCGTTATATCATGATCGACCCCGTCCTTTGTCTTGCTTATCCGTTATCATGGTCACCAAATTTGGACCTATACACCACTAAAGTAGAACTTCCCCACAAAAATAATATGGATCACTCAAGTAATTTATAATAGCGAATTCAGAGTTGCTGCATATTAGAAAATTGAAACAAGAGATAAGCATGAGTTAAGAATATGATTAGACCCAATACGTCTTAGTTACTAGGTTCGTAATTAACTTCCTTTTGTACATGAATCAAAAGACTAGCCACACCAACCAAAAAAAAATGAGAAAACACAAAAACCAAAAAAATAATCTCACATTTTTAATTTTCCACTCTTTCAACAAAAAAAATAGGCAAGAAAAAGAATAAAATGAAAATTGAGATTGTTCCACTCTTAATAAAGAGGTATAGTGGCATTTTCCACCCTCACTAGATATTTTCGGTTCAAGTGCTAGGAATAAAATGATTAGGGAGTGGTTTCACTCTTTAATCGGCCCTAAACAATCATAAATTCATATTAGTCAGACTAGTTGATATATATATATATATATATATAAATATAAAGAAAAAGATTGTTCCATTATTCTTAGTTACATTTGCAGGTTAACTCCTGAAATGAAAATCTACAGTGCTGATTTGCATTGCATTACAGCCTGTTATTAAGAATTTAATTTTTGGCCACCGAAAGTAAATCCTTTAACAACAACTTCTCTTTGAAGAAAAGAATAAATACCAATAACAATAGAATCAACTAAAGTACAAAACTTTATATATTAACCATCTCCTTTACATATTTATATTCCCTTTTTTCCATTATCCTTTCCTTTAATGAAAAGTTTATCCATCTATTATGCAAAGGGATCATTCACACTCTTAGGGCTCGTTTGGTCCGCTTAATTTCGGAATTAAATTTTATACGAGTTTATCTCACGTTTGATTAGGATAAATTACGGTATAACTAATCCCGAAATTAATTGTCCCGGGATAATAATGTTATTTTTATCCTATGGGAGCTTAGGATAACAATCCCGGGATAATTAATCCCAAAATAATTCATTAATAAATTGTCTCGCATTTATTCTTAATTTTACAGCGGACCTCCATGATAAATTGACGGGTTCCACGTGTCATAATCCTTTACAAAAATCTTCCAAATTCACCCCTTTATTTCTTACTATAATTTAAAAATATCATGTTATACTTAAGGTTGAAGCTCTATACAATTTGCTAATAGCTAAGGTATGAATGCCCCACAGGAGGTAAAAAGCAAAATATTTGGTATTTTTTAGTGATACTTTTTAGCAATCTTTATTCAAATAGCCAGCCTGGTACACTATTTTTTTTCCGGTCGATATACATAGATTACACATTAATTATACACAGTCTTACACATATTATATATATATTACACATGCATCGGCTATTTTTAATTTAAGTAGCTGGGTGAACGTCTATTTAGGTTAAAAAAAAATGCAGTCCGGTGCACTAAGCTCCCGCTATGCACATGGTCCGAGGAAGGGCCGAACCGCAAGAGTTTATTGTACACAACCTTACCTGCATTTCTGCAAGACACTATTTCCATAGCATCAACTTTACCAGCTACACCAACATCAACTTTACCGGTTACAACACGGCTTGGACGACTATTTAGGTTAATTCTTCAATTATACTTACTCTTCCTTATATTGCTCAAAGTTCTTTCTGCAGCAAAGAAAGAAACAACAATCCCAAAATGAGCTGCTGTAAGCCTAAAAAATCCAAAAGTTTCCCCATAGCCAAGACCCCATCACAAAAAGAAACCCCAGAAACCAAAAATATCAAACATGAAGTTCTTTTAAGTATTCCAGGATGCAAAGTTCATCTAATGGATGAAGGAGAAACTTTAGAACTTTCAAATGGTTTCTTCACAATATTTTCTATATTAGAAGAAGATGTTTGTGTGGCTACAATTGTAAAAGTTGGTGATGAACTTCAATGGCCATTAACTAAAGATGAACCTGTAGTGAAACTTGATGCTTTGCATTATTTATTTACTTTGCCTGTTATAGATGGTCATCCATTGAGTTATGGTGTGACATTTTCAGAAAATGGTAGTGGAAATCTTGGATTTTTGGATGCATTTCTTAAAGAAAATACTTTGTTTACTTGTTCTTTATCATCATCAAATAGGAGAAATGATATTGAATGGAAAGAGTTTGCTCCTAGAATTGAAGATTATAATAATGTTTTGGCTAAGGCAATTGCTGGAGGTACAGGTCAAATTGTTAAAGGGATCTTCAAATGTAGCAATGCTTATACTAATCAGGTTTGCATTTTGTTTCCTTCTTATGATGTTACTGTTGCAAAGAAACTTTTTTGAATTTCCTTTCTTATCTTTTAAAAAAAAGCAGCCCGATGCACAAAACATTTCGCGCTTACGCAGGGTCCCAGGAAGTGCCGCACCCTTTTTAAAATGTCTAGATGGTTGAGCGAATGAGTTATTGTCTCTTTATATACAATCTTGGTCAATTCTCATCTAATGAGTTAACTTTTAGGATTGAGTTAGTCCTGAACTCTGTTTTCTTATTAGAATTGGACTAACCGTTCCTAGTTTTGACTTACTTAATGCCCGCATGTTATACTGTCCACGCTCCAGATGTCCAAGTCTAAGCGTGCCGAAGTATATTAGAATTAATGTTCCATATTAGAGTATGATGTCTACATGACACCCTTGGGGTGCGGCCCTTCCTCGGACACTGCGTGAATAGGGATGCTTTGTATATCGGGCTGCCCTTTAATGTTCCACATTGGTTGAGAGAATAAATTGTTATTTTCTAATATAGTCTTCGACAATTCTCACTTTATACAACTAAGATTGAGTTAGATCCAAGTTCCATTTATGTAACGTTGCTAAAGTTAACTTGGAAATTATTCACTTTGATTTCTTAAGCTGATTATGAGCAAAAAAGCTAAAAATTAGAAAGGGAAATGCAGGTACAAAAGGGAGGGGAAAACATCTTAATTCCAGCTGTAGAGAACTCTGGTTCTACTGCTACCAAAAGGAAAGGCAATGCTACAAAGAAGAATGCAGTCAATGAAAGCCTAAAACGGTATGAGACAACTATTTATTCTTTTCTCATTATCCTTCTCATTTAGTCAAAAAGCTAAAGAAAAACACAGTATGTCTACCACTGTATGATTCTTTTATCTCTTTACTTTACTCATATTGTCAAAAGTTAAGCGTAAAGGGTTTAAAATACCCTTCTACTTTACGAAATATCTTAAGTTTATTATATGTCGTACTTTGGGCCATTTATATTCTTACCGTCAGCAAATCGCCTCGTATTTACTGTTAGCTCTAATGGAACTTCAACTTGAAGTATAACATAGAGTAATTTTTAAACCATATTCAAAAGTAGAGGAATAAATTTAGACATTTTTCCGAAGTACTTTGTCACGTGGAATTTACTCAATTTACACTAGAACGCCGTTAAAGTTAGGGATAAATATGAGACAACTTACTAGTTTGGCAAAGATATGAATAGCTTAAAGTATCACATAAAGTAAACTAAAGGCCCGTTTGCAAGGGAGGATGCACATGGGTAGAAGCGGTGTCATCCGACACCGTTTCGCCGGAAAAAAATATTAAATATTTATACTAATATTCTGCAAAAATAAGCAATATAGAGTAATGACACCGCTTCCTGACAGAGAGTACTTCTTGGTTTGCTGGTCAAGCTCATGTTTGGGTTTGTAAAGGTTGTAGGTTTGAATTTGGACCTAGACATTCTATTTTTGAAGATCTTGGGCGAGCATTTTTGTTAAAAATTTGAGACTAAGGATAATTGAACCTACACCTCCCTTTGCAATAGTATTCAGTATTTCAATTAGACCATTGAGCCAAGGCTTTCAACTTGTCGGAAAATGATACTATCAAATAATAATTGTTTATTTTTTAATTATGTAAATACGACACCGCTTATCAAAAGTTTTGTGTATGTCCCTGCCCGTTTGGCCATAAAACATTTTTTTTACATTTTCGAAATTTTTTTTCACTTTTTTCGGAATTAGTGTTTGGCCATAAAAATTTCAAATTTCACTTGAAGTTAAATTTTGGAATTTGAAAAACTCCAAAAAACTGTTTTTCAAAATTTTCACTTCAAATCACTCATAAATTCAAAAACAGCTCCAAATTATTTCATGTCCAAACACAAGTCTGATTTTCAAATACCATTTTCATTTAAACAAAATTCACTTTTTCCGGAATTTCATAATTCTTATGTCCAAAGGCCCATTAAGATATTTCGAATAGTAAAAGAGTAAATTTGGACCACTCCCCAAAAGTTAGAAAAAGGTGTTTTTCCTCTTATTTAAAAAATGTCCAAAAAGCTTGAACTAAAAGCTGACATTCAATATATTGTAGTGTGAGGAAGCTGTCAAAGATGACAGAAAAGATGAGCAAATCTATGCTTAATGGGGTTGGAATTGTAACTGGTTCAGTTATGGGGCCAATGGTTAGGTCTCAAGCTGGCAAGAAATTCTTGGCCATGGTTCCTGGAGAAGTTCTTTTGGCTTCACTTGATGCTGTTAGTAAGTGGCCAGCAATTTTATCTTTCCTTGTTTTCTTTCTTTCATTTTTCTCTTTCAAGAATGTTTAGAATCATTTTATTCTTGAAATTGCAGACAAGATCTTAGATGCTGCTGAAGCTGCTGAAAAACAAACACTGTCTGCAACTTCTGGTGCTGTGACTAGGATGGTCACCAATAGGTATTGTGTGATCGTGTTTTGATTCGGCATGGAATTTAAGAAAGAAAAAAAGACGTTGAGCTTATGATCTTGAGCATGAGAGCAACCCGGTGTACAAAGTATTTGCGTTCACGCAGGATCCGGGAAAGGCGCATTTTAAGTGGTGTGATGTAGACAGCCTACCCTAATGCAAGCATTAGTGACTGCTTCTACGGCTCGAACTCGTGATCTATAGGCCATATAGCAGTCTTGAACATGAGGGCAACCCAATTTACAAAGCATCCCACGTTCACGTAGGGTCCGGTAAAAAGCCGCACCTTAAGGGGTAATGATGTAGATAGCCTACCCATCAATGACTGCTTCTATGGCTCAAACCCATGACCTATATGTCACACCGCGGTCTTGAATATGTTATGATATTTTTACGGCTTTAAAAAAGTATGTCATTAAGAGTAAAATGAGAAAAATTAAAGTCAGATTATTTTTAAATATAAAAACATAATTATTTTGGAAAAAAAACTAATAAGATAAGGGGTGTCACATAATATAGAACAGTCGGAGTAAACTAATAAGATTAAAGTAGGAATGGAGCTACATGGTGTAACGGGTTACCTTTGAATCCCCTTCGTCGGAAAATTCTATAAGTAGGGTAACAACAAGTTTTCTTGCATATACATATACACACACATATACACATAGTTGAATTCCCTCCGTCAGAAAATTCTATAAATAGGGTAACAACGTAACAAGTTTTCTTGCATATACATATACACACACATACACACATTGTTGAATCCCCTTCGTCGGAAATTTTATAAAGAGGGTAACAACAAATTTCTTGCATATATATACACACATACACACATTGTTGAATCCTCTTGACATTTGTTTTGGATCCCCTCGACATAAGTAAGGCTTCTAATATAACGGCATATGTGGTCACTTATTGTGGACCAGAGGGGGTAATGTTTTGTTTTCCCTTAAGATCACCAATAATGTAATCACAAATGATCACGATATTTCGATTTTGTTCTCGCAAGAAAGCCAGGATTTGAAGTTAAGGGATTCAGTATTCTAGTCTTATTAAGCCATTAGATTCTAAACTAATAATTTGTACATATTAAATAAATTTTTTAAGACAAATATAAAGGTTGGACCAATCTATGGCTCCGCCCTTGTGTTTTCGCATGAATTCACAGTGATGATTTATGGTGTCTAATTTTTAGTTTTGAATGTGGAATAGATTTGGAGAGAATGCAGGGGAAGCAACAGAAGATGCATTAGCAACAGTAGGGCACTGTGCAGGAACTGCTTGGAATGTATTCAAAATAAGGAAGGCCCTTAATCCTGCTTCTTCTGTCTCCTCTGGAGCACTCAATGCAGCAAAAACAAGAAAATAATAATAGTACCAAGAACTTAAGGAAAGAAAGAAAGTTGTTGTAAGACATAAAGGAATGAAAATGACATTGTTTCTCAATTTGCTTGAAAAGTATCTTCACAATATGGATCATCACATTGTTGGGCTAAATCAGCTCAAAGGCACACTTATTATGACGTAATATTGTTCGTTTTGGACGAAATCCGTAAGATTTTGTAATTTCAAAAGAGCTCACACCATTAAGAGTAACTCTATATTTTATATAATTTTCTTTTCCGATCAACTTTTAGTATGAGAACGGGAGTCTTGGAGTAACGGTAAAGTTATTTATAGGTCACAGGTTCGAGCCGTGGAAGTAGCCACTAATGCTACTTGATTTATAGGTCACAGGTTCGAGCCGTGGAAGTAGTCACTAATGCTTGCATTAAGATAGACTGACTACATCCCACCCCTTGGGATGTCATCCTTTCCCGGACTCTGCGTGAACGCGAAATACCTTGTGTACTATACTGCCCTGCCAACTTTCATTATGAAACTTTATTCGCGCACACAACAAATATTTCAGCAAGCTTATTTACAAGTTATAATTGGACCCTCAGGTCACACAAAAGAATTAGGATTTAAGTCATACAAACATTGTTATAATTTTAATCAGTTGTGTCATATGATTAACTCTCTTCTCTATATAACAACCTTTGCTTATTATATAAAGTTAGTTATAGTTGACCGTTACTTTCTAATTTAATAGCGTAAAATTTCATTGAGATGTCGTTGAATAAAAATTAAACCCCATAAGAAAATATTAAATACAATGTGTCACAGCCTAAAGTTAACATTGCTACTTATGATGTCTCGCAGAGAAATTTAAAAATAGCCAAATTTACAAGTGGTTATTCAAAAATAGCTACAGTTTTAAAGTAATCGAAATTTAGTCATTTTTCATGTAAAGATAAATCTGAACGAAAACACTGTTCAAAATCCGGAAAATAATCCAGCATAATATACTGGAGTTCCAGCAAAGTATACTGGAACTCCAGTATATTATACCGGAGCCAGCAAAGTATACCGGTCCAGCATAATATGCTGGAAGTTCATACACAGGTGCACCGAACTCCAGTATATTATGCTGGACTGGTCTCTGTTGCAGCAAAATAGTGGCTATTTTTCAACGACATGGCAAATGCTGACTATTTTTGAATGACCAATCCGAAAACTGGCTAGCCCGAGCTATTTTAACTAATATCACTGTTGACATTGCTACTAATTTGATAGAAGACACAAATCGAATTGCACTAAAGTAGGCGTGGGCATTCGGTACTTCGGTTCGGTATTTAATAATTTCGGTTCGGTATTCGGTTTATCAATTGTGTATACCAAATACCATACCAAAATATTTCGGTACGGTTCGGTTTTTCTTATTTTGGTTCGGTACGGTTTCGGTACGGTTTCGGTTTAATAATCGCTAAATAATCAATGCTAGCTAACGCCTAACAGTGCACATGTACAATTGAAAGTTTCACTTGTAAAGTAATAAAACTAATAACTAATACAAAGTACAATTGTACAAACTAATAACAATTGAAAGGTTCGGGGCAGTGCACAAGCACAACTGTGGACTAGATCAAAGTAACATGAGAATCCCAAGAAGTTAAACTACTACTAAAGCTCAATTATAGAAGTTCTCAAAAGCAAAAATCAACTCAAAGTTTCCTTCACTCACTGACATGTTACTCAGCTTCGAAACTTTCTTTCCCTTTACACCAGTAGAAGTTTCAAAAAAAATTCCAGATTTTTGTATCTTTTATTGACAGACATCTAATAAATAAGGATTAGATCACAATCTAGACAAGAAGAGCATGAACCGCCCCTCAGTGTTTAGGCACATTCACAAATTAACAATACTTAAAGTAATAAACTAATAACAAGAACAGTGGGGCAGAGGCAGTGCACTGCACATTCAGTCTTTCAAACAATACATATTTCTAATTGAAACAACGTTTGGTAAAGAACTTAACAGATGCAACAGCAACACTGTTGCAGCAACAGTCAACAGTCAGCAAAAAGCCAAAAACACCAGTGAACTGTACAGTGAACAAAAACGCCAGTGCACTGTACACAACTCCAAAGTTTGCCAAATTCTGCCCAACTCCAAATTGCATCTGTACACAACTACACATTATAGACTTGACCACAATGCTTGAACCTAAAAAAAATATAAATCATAAGTTAGAATATAATATTTTGATGATAACAAAACAAAACTACAAAAGTATTAAGTATATCACCAAACAAATAGAGTATTAAACTTACCACTCAAGATGCAAGTTGCAACTATACATCAAACAATGCTAGTAGTGCTTCCATTATTTTCCATATCTATAGATAATTCGACCAAATATGTCATACAAATGAAAAAGCATGATATATTATTTTGAACTAAAATACACGCAAAATATTAAAGCTTACCAAGCTCGAGTTCCTCAAGATACTTCAAGTCTTCTTCAACACTAATAGGATTGTTCTCTTCTCTAAGCCAATCTTGAACACAAATAAGAGCTTGCACACATTTAGGAGTCAATGAACTCCTAAATGAATCAAGAATACGGCCACCGGTGCTAAATGCGCATTCCGACGCCACACTAGAAATTGGAATGGCCAACACATCACGAGCCAACTCCGAAAGAATAGGAAATCTAGGAGCATGTGTTTTCCACCAACTCAAGATATCAAAGTCTTCACTAAAAGGTTCTTGTTCTTCACTAATGTATTTATCCAACTCCGATTTAGCACCCCCACCCCCATTGTCTTCCTTTTGTTTCTTCAAGCTAAGCTTAGTCCTTATTTTTGATGCACTTATAACACTCCCACTAGATGTATTAGATGTAGTTTGCTAGATGATAAGTAAGATCTAGATGGAGGTTGAGGACAAGATCCAGTTGAATATTTTTTTTAGATACTCTCCAAACAAAGAATTCATATAAGCATACACCTCAGCATTTATTTTCTTTCCTTTTTCCTCCCCAAAAAGTTCTTCAAGTGCTCCCTCAACATATTCAAATTTGTTACGTGGATCCAACACAGAAGCAATAAAAATCATTTTATTCATCTTTTCAAGCTCACCCCAATACTTCTTGAACTTTTCTTGCATTCGCTCAGCCATTTTTCTCAAATGCTCATCCTCACTAGCTAAAACACATTTTCAAATGACAATAAAGTTCAGATACATCCTCAAAATGAGAATTACAAGTGCATAACGTGAACCTGAAACTTTTTTAGTTAGCTCGTGAAATCTTGCAAGAAACACTATCACATTCCTCACATTCACCCAATCATCAGAATCAAGAGGACCTGCACTACTACCATCTTCACAAACATGAGAACATTGATAAGCAGAAAACCATCATCAAAAAGATGAAACTTGTCAAAGGCCATTTCAAATTTTGTGTCGTGTCCAACATCAAATAGGTGGAATTCCACCTAGTAGGAACATCCAAACACAATGTTTTGGTACATTCTACCTTTACATGTGCACAACACTGTTTAAACTTTAAGGTCCTTGCAGGCGAAGATCTCACATACCTCACAACATTTCTAACACGTGTCACAGAAGCATCAAGCTCTTTTCAAACCATCTTGCACAATTAGATTTAGTATATGAGCCATGCATCTCACATGAAGATGCTTACCACTCATCATATTAGTTTTCCACATATCTAACTGTTTAGACAATTCTTTAACTGTGACATCATTTGAAGAAGCATTGTCCACTGTAATAGTGAAAACCTTGTCTAATTTCCATTCAAGCAAACAATCCCTAATAACTTTAGCCATCTCTTCACCCTTATGACTAGTAATAGGGCAAAAATCTAGATATTCTTTTATGCAACTTCCAATCCCTATCAATGAAGTGGGCTGTCAAACACATATAATTTATTCTTTGTAGTGAAGTCCATGTATCTGTTGTGAGGCAAATTTTTGGTTGTGCTTCTCTAAAAGACTTTCTTAGATTTTGCTTCATTTCACTGTAAACTTCATAACAATCCCTTGTTATTGTTCTACGAGAAGGAAGACGAAATAATGGTTGAGTTTTTCTCATAAACTTCATAAAGCCTTCATTTTCTACAAAGCTAAATGGTAGTTCATCAATAACTATCATCTCAATTAAGGCCCTCCTAACAACTTCTTGTTCAAATTTCCAAATTGATCCTTCGTCATTTTGGCAAGATTGAAAATTTATCTTTGTTTGACTATTATCTTTATCAATGTTAAGTGGGTATTCTTTGCATCTAAGCAAATGATTCTTCAATCTTGTTGTTCCATTCCTAGATGAATTAGCCGCATAGGCTTGTTTACAATATCAACATCGTGCTTTCCCAACCCCATTAACCTCAAATTTATCAAAATGGTTCCAAACGTCAGACCTAGGTTGCATGGCTTTCCTTTTTCTGGAATCTTGGGTATCAATGGTGTTGGTGTTACTATCTACCGTAATAGGTAAACTTTCACTTGAACCAGCATCACTTACTCTACTTATATCCGCCATCTATACAAAAGTAAACAAATATAAACACAAATTAACAATCATGGGGTACAATCATAGGGGAGCAGACTTAACAAGAAAGCCAAACATTCACATTTCTTCCAGATTCGACAACCTTGTTTTATGAACCAAGAGAATGAAAATAAAAAAGCAGAATAAGTTTTCTTGCATAAACCTTCAAGAGGTCCTGCAAAATAACTGGAGTTCAAAAGGCTCATACGTACAAGGATGTAAAAACTCGAGAGCAATACAATCAATGACTTTCAACAAGAACAGAAATATAAAAAGGAAATGATAATGCAGGGAGATTAATGAACCCACATCAGCTAAAGCATCACTCTCAGGATGCATTACAATGTTCAATATTACAAAACATTTCTGGTGGAGGACAAACACGAAAAAAAAGCTCTAGGTTTACTCCTGATTGAACCTGATTTAGAAGATCCAAAGTCAGAAATTGTATCACAAAAATTGCTTTTGAGCAGATTAAATAGTACTGCTTCTGTGACTTCGATAATCCTAAAGCATTTACAAACATTCTCAACACAAATGATTTCACAGTCCTAATTTGGTATCGCTAGAAAGTAGAAATCGCTAGAAAGTAGAAACATACCTTTGAAAATTGAAGACTGGGGAGTGAGGAGTCGGAGCTGCGAAGTGCGAAGTCGGAAATCCCCCCAAAATCCAAATCGCCGACGCCAAATCGTAGTCGGAGCTGCTGAGCTTGGGCGAATTATCGTCCACTTTCTCTCTCTGAGCTTGAAATTATCGTCTATACTCTATACAAATGCCCTAACTCTAACTAGTAACTATTAACCAACTACTAAAGATGGGTGGGCTTGGGGCTGGGCTAGAAATAAAATAAAAAAGGGTGGGTGGGCCGCTTGGGCGTTGGGCTGGGGATGGGCAGTGGCCTATTTAACCGAAATACCGAAATTTCAGATTTCTAAAACCGAGTACCGAACCGAAATACCGAAATACCGAAAATTTAGTACCGAACTAGATAACCGAAATACCGAAATTTCAGATTTCTAAAATCGAGTACCGAACCGAAATACCGAAATACCGAAAATTTAGTACCGAACTAGACCGAAATACCGAAAAAAACCGAAATAATTCGGTCCGGTTCGGAATTCGGTTTTTCGGATTTTATGCCCACCCCTACACTAAAGAGCCCAAACCAAAAAGTTTGGCAAGTAATTACGCTGGAATCATTTTAGGATCACTATTTAAATTTTGACCCAACTAAGAAAAATCTTAGGAAAATAGCCTCCGACCAGATTTTGAAGCACGCCGGTAAGAATTTTGGAAAGAGATTTTGGCAATTGCCAAATTTTGAAGCACCAGGAATTCAACCACAATGCTGAAAAATTCTGGAGATCTGTCAGAATTTGTGGCAAAATCCTGACGATCACCATAAAGTGCTAAAATTTTGGCGAACATGCTTTAAAATATGGTGCTAAGCTATTTTTTCAAAACTTTTGTTATTGGGGTCAAAAAGTTAAGGGTGACATAAAAGTATTCTATTTGCAATAAATTGCAGAAATATAACCTTTTCTAGGATTGTCTTTAACTTTTGACCACCGCTTTGCTCATAGGCCGAATTTCAAGGTCAAAAGTTTAATGTATTGCCCATGGGACAAGGAAAGGGCAATGGTTATTAAACTTGAAATTCTGCCTATAGGATGATACATCCAATTTGAGAGCATTTGGTTACGTCAGCCTTCTATTTATGTCTTTCTCCCAAAGTTTTGAAGAATTAACCTCAATAGCCACTCACTCAACCACTTAAACTGAAAATAACTGACGTATGTTCAATATATTTATGATCTATCTATTATATGTGTATAACTGTGTATCATAAATGCATAATCTATACATAGCGGTTAGGAAAAGCAAATTGTAAATCTGGCTATTTGTGTAAAGATCCCTAAAGTTTTCCAAAGTGGCCAAATGCGAAACGACTCGCCTAGAAGCCCAACTTGCACTCCTTTAGTACACAAACAAAGTTCGCAGTATAGAAGACGTTAATAGTCGTTTAGATCGCAAATTTCCAACGCCAATTTCAATGGAGAATCCAGAAAATCTGAACATTTACAAAGCTTCGAGAACCATAAAACGAAGTGAAAACACTCTCTACAACGCCCTACGATCAATCTACGAGGATTCGATATTCGTCGGCGAGATTTCTCAGCTATGGCCGGAGCTTCCGCTACTTGCAAATCTCCGTTGTGGCCTTTGGTACTCTCAAAAATTCCACTCCACTTGCTATTTCAAGTCAACCGATGGACATACCAATAATTGGTCTTTTAATACCTCTCGCCTTAACCTCCATGTTGCCCTTCTTGCTGGTAACCTTCGTTATTCCCTCTATTTACTTTTTCTGAAGTATATTAGTAGTTATTCTTTTGCTTGATTCTCTTTGAGAATTAAGGTATATATGTATGAATATGTGTATAAAATTTAAAGAAGAGGGCGGATCAAGTAGGACTGACCAACTTTTAGGTTGGCAAGCTTCAAAAGAAGGGGTGCACATGTCACCTTAGGCGAACCTTAGGCGAATCCGGCATTGACACAATTTTACATGGTATGAGCTTTTGGGGCTCGAGGTGGCATAGCCTGAAAGACAAATCCGTGCGAGCCTAGGCCCAAAGTGGACAATACATGTCATGGGCTTGGGTCATGAAAAATATGACAAACTTGGTATCATACCGGATATGATTAATTGAAGATTTTCTGCTACTTTGTAAATTGGTACTCAAAATGTTCCAATTTATATGCTGGTTCTGTGTATGCGTAGTATTTTGTTGTCTTAAAATGTCATGTTAAGAACATGCCATTTAGGATAATATGAGAATGATTAAGATTAAAGAGTTCTCATATATATAATGTGTTAATTATTTCGGAACAAACCAAGAGAAAAGAGTACCATATAAAATGAAAAAAACCCTGCTACAGTAATCTAAGCTTGACTAAAAGCACATTAAGTATAGTATGTCATGTTAAGTAGATTATGTAAATACGAACCTGGAACAACTGAAACATGCTCCAAACATTTTAACTAAATTCTGTCACATTAAGTATATAATGTCACATTGTAAGTATATTATGTAAACATGTCACATTAAATAAATTCTGTGATATCCTCTTCCAATATCCTCTTGTCTGACACTAAGAAATCAAAAGTTGATGTTAGTTTTGTATATTTCAGCCAGCTTATTATCAAATTAATAACTAGTTCCACTATTTGTACAATAGTGGCAAGCACCAGTACATATAAGGTCTTACAGTCATAGCTTCCTTGAAAATAGCAGAGTGAGACACGTATTCAGGCTAAAAAAATGTGACTAACGCTTTCACAGAATTTCAAGAGGTCATCAAAATCAGTATATATCTGAAAATCTTCATTAGTCATATGTATTTGCGTGTAATTGTTAAAAAAAATATTTATTTGTATATAACAACTACAGTAGACTTACTTTTGATAGCTAGATGGTTGCAATCTTTGTTCTATATACACATGATGTAGTTGGAAGCTAATTGCTCTTGATGGTTAGGACAGAAGGGAGGGTGTATGATTGTTGATTCAACAAGGAAAGGGAAGAGGTTTCCAGATAGCATGTCAAAGACAATACCGATTTGGACCTGTGTAATGAATCGTGCCATTTGGAATTACAAAATGAGATCTGGTTTGGCTGGTGCTGCAGAAAAGAAAGTAAGAACAACTAATTATTTTGGTGCATAATTATTTCTTAGGAATAGAGATAGTTTATTATCTTTTTATGTCAAAAGAAAGTTTTTAGTTTTGTGAATGTCCTTTTTCAAGTCGCAAAAAAATCTTTTTTTTTCCTCTGAAAATATTAACTGTAAGTTGGAGGAAGAGGAGAATAAAAATATCTGTTTTCTTCTTTTATCAGCACTATTATTGTTCTTTGAGAGAATAGAATTAGGATTAGAGGCTATGTACTTTCTGAAAGGATAAAAAGATATGAGGAAATATGAAAAAGAAATCCAAGGCTTGTGATCTATGAGGCTTTTTGCTTGTCCGTTTTCCAAAAGATATTACTGTTGGCTTTCTTGTAAATAACTGCATTGGGCCCAAAATTTATGTGTGATGTGCAATGTAGACTTGCCATTTAATATAAATTGTAACTATGCCCCCACCATACACACAAAAATGCCAATATGTTTTGATGTACTTATTTATATTTTTTATGAATTCATTTGAGCAGGAGTCAAATGATTCCACTGAACGTGGAGATAGAATTAATGACTTTTATAGCTGGGATTGTTCCTTGCATCTCCCTTTGTGGGTCTCAAATACTGAAAGAGCACTTATTGAGGGGCGTTTAGACGGATGGACCAAGGATCTGGAGGTCAGTGGAGCTGATATTGCTTCCATTGCTTTGTCCCTGAAAAAGCCGCTACGTCCACTATGGATTTCACAAAAAACTGTGATCTGGTTAAATGAAGTACCTGATTGTGATTCTTGGGATTTCACTCCAATAATGCTTGTTTCTACATCCTCCCCAAGTAGCAATTTTCAGCAAAGAAGAACCTCTGAATTTAGTTGGAGGTACATAGCTGGAGCTGGAGATGATGAGGAAAGTTGGGCAAGGGGCTTGTCACCAAGTCTTTTCTGGAAACATGCTTATGATCTCATAAGCTCTGGTCCTGATATGTGTAACAAGAAGGTAGCTGATATTATTGAGAAGGACAGGGTATACCGTGCACGGAGGGGAGAAAATGCTCCTCAAATATCTATTAAGCCTTCAAAATCTTCTATGAGTAGTGGCCGTTTGCCTGCGGAAGAACAAGTAGACCTGGAGCCTCAAATTATGAACAGAGATGAGAAGTCTTCTGATAATGATTCCATATTTTGGCTGGGGGAAAGTAATCTAGCGGTTGGCACAACACAACTTGGTATGCTTCATATGCGCCCCGATTCTTGTGAAGTAATGAATTTAAATTATAGTTCTGCATGGTTATTGATGCGAATAGCTTCCCGTTGATTGTCTGTGTGACTAGCCTACCCTTTTACTCTATTTTACATTTGGCTTGAACTTGTGGTGTGTCATGTTATGGACTGGAATTCTTTTGGTGGCTATACATCTTTTAAATTTGTTGGCGCAGGTAAATTCCAATGAAATTAAAAGTGGAGGTTGGTTAACCACTTGGTAGTCAAAACATGGGCTATGCTGTGAGATCTAATTCTATGTTACGTAGACTCTCCAAAATTCTGGCGCACCGTGTTGGATCCTCCAAAAATGCACTAGTTTTGGAGATCCGGCACACAACCAGCGACATTTTCGGAGAGTCTGAGCAATATAGGATCTAAATGCTTTGCCAGTTATATACTTCTTAAGTGGGGAGTGATTATCCGTTTCCCAGTACTATGCTTGAATTTCTGAGGTCTAAGCATCACGACAACTCTTTGTCTTTTTCGCCATTTTGACCGTGTAGATCTGCTTCAAAGCATCCGTTTCTATTTGGCAGAGACATTTCCAAGTAAAGAATTGGCAAAAGTAGTATGCAGGCTTTTACCATTGGTTAGTTCCTTAGAGAGTGTAAATTAATTTTCTAGTATACTGCAAAATTGTCACATTTTCTGGATAGTAAGACAATGCAGATCAGAGCATAAATCTCCTTTTTGTTTTTCCCTGAAAGGCCGAAAAGATTTTTGTTTCTGTAAGCAGATCGCATCAGTATTGTACATGTCCATTGCAAATTCATTGTAACAGCACAGCCCGCTAGTGATATTGTCCGCTTTGGGCCTAGGCCTTCACGGGTTTAAAACGCGTCACTAGGATCTAAGGCTTGTTAACTTATATACCCATCATCCCTTTTGTGTTTTGTCGATGTGAGACTCTATCTAAAGTCTGGAGTGTTACATACACCCCCTCTTATGGACTCAGCGTCCTCGCTGAGGTTTGCCCCACCGAATGGGATTCGCCTAGACTCAGCACTGAGGTTTGCCTCGCCTATCCGCGATTTGTCTAAACTCAGTTGAACTCTGACCCACCAACGGCAAGGATGACACAAGAGTGGCTCTGATACCATCTGTAACAGCCCAGCCCGCTAGTGATATTGTCCGCTTTGGGCCTAGGCCTTCACGGGTTTAAAACGCGTCACTAGGTTCTAAGGCTTGTTAACTTATATACCCAGCATCCCTCTTGTGTTTTGCCGATGTGAGACTCTATCTAAAGTCTGGGGTGTTACATTCATGTACATTGATTAAAAAGCCATGTCCTGCCTTTCTCTTTATTATTCTCGATTTGCCAGTCATTTATTGGTGCCATTGGTTTATTTTTGTCATGAACCTCTTGCAATGGTCACTCTGATTGAAGATTTACCATGCAGCTAAGGATGCATCTGGTGTTGATTGTGTGTTGAGTTGTGATCGGGAGTCCAGTTCTCTTTGTTCTAAGGAGTCTGAAGCTTATCTAAACCTGTCTATTGTGGTGCGTATGATTTCCTTAAGTTAGTTGCTTAAATTGTTGGTAAATTTTTAACTATTGTCCAATTACCTGATTGTTATGAACTCTTTTTTCCCTCTTTTTGGGGTTTGTTTTTGTTGATTGGTCGGTGGTTGGGGACAATACAGAGCTCGAAGTTTGACCGATCTTCTTTATTAAGGAATCTTCCCTCAGCGGTGAATTTTGCAAAGAACAACTTGAAAAAGGGGCAGAAACTCCTAGTTTGCTGCAGTAGTGGTAAGTATGGCTTTTCTATGTCGCCAAGTTTGTTTCCACATGCCATTTGACTTGTACTCACTGAAGGTGAAAACTGGATATATTTTGCTCGTACATTAAATTTCTTGGGCGGGATTGTAGGGGGTAGTGGAGGGTTTCGAAGACGAGACTATGTGGCAAGTCTAGCATGAGCTGTCTTTGAAGGTGATAAGGCACGGGAACGAAAATAGGGGGAGGACTTCTGTCTCCATTTTCACCACGTTATGAATGAGTTGCCTAATCCATTGACTAAAGACGTTACAGTAATCAAGTTGGTAGGTTATACTTTTAATGGGAGTCTTGTTTTGTTTTGCATGTTATCTGGCAATTTTTCTTAATACGCCAATTTATTCAGCTGTTGCTTTTATTGTTTTTGACTGTATCGCAAAAGACAAAATATCACTGACAAAAGTTATTTCTTTGTGTTTTCAGGGGAGGATATTAGCATCTGTGTTTGTTTAGCAATTTTGATGTCATTATTTGATGACAGAGGTATGCACGGGTATCTTGTTTCAACTTTGTGTCCTAATTTTGACCGTCTTAACTAACACAAAATTCAACAACTGTTACCTTTAAGTATCTAACTTTGATATACCAATTTTTAGTGCGCTCTCGTGCGAAATTTATAAATTGTTTTGTATCTTTTCTGGTTGTCTCAAAATAGTCTAATATTTGCACTTTCCGCAGGGCACTTTGATGAAGGGAGGATTTTCAGTGAGAGACGAGTCACTAAGTTGGAGTTGCGACGAAGATTGGTATTTATCTGCCAATTTGCTGTGAATGCTCGCCCATCAAGAGGGAATGTTAAGCAGGTCTTTAATTATCTCAGTGGAGGAAATATTGAGACAGTTTGTTAAGAAAACGTACTTTGCTTCCATGCCTTAAAACTTGATCGCCCAAATACAATTTAAAATGCTACTCAGATCACTGATGTGATTGAGCTCCGGAGGAAGAGTAAAGCTGCTATATGCATCTGGTTTTTCTTGCTTTTTCTGTTATCGTTTGAGTAAAGTAGTTCCTTTTGATTGGGAGTTCTGTCTTCTCTCCAACACACTTGAAGCGATGTTTTGTTTTCCTAGTTTCTGTCTAGTGCAAGCTGAGTAGGTAGGTGAGCGGCCCTTGCCAGTGGCAGATGTACAATTATTTGATCAGATATATTTGAACTGTTTTAAACGATTAGTATTTATGCGAAGTTTGAACATATTGTAACAAAAGAACTTATAGTATTGTGTTACTTTGAACCAGCAGAGTTATACAATTCAGTCTCAAGAGCAGGACATTGCTATCGCAGCCAACAGCTTTGGCATTGTCAATTAATAGAACGGAAGAGGTTCAAATATTTCCTTGTACTATTTGAAATGGCTCAATTTGCCATCTGTTATACTTTTCGTCAATTCATACTATTTCCATTCGCAACATCTTGTATTTTCCCATACTATAACAGATCTTTCGCGTGAAACGGTTGGATTCCATGTGTTCAAAATTTTTGAGAACAAAGATTTAAGTCTTCTCTAACGAAATATTAGATCAAAAGTCTACCAGAGAATAAAGTTGCACCATTTCGAATAGCACGAGGACAAATTTGACCATTTTCTCTTAATAGAATAGCAACAGGCTAACCTCACGCAATGTCAGTCTAGCATAGACTCTCAGCAGATTAGAAGAATCAGAAACACTTTTCGGGGAGAGAACGGTAATGTATGGTTCAACTTGAACCTACTTTGACTAATCAACTAATCTATGCTACTTTTCACCAACACAAACACCGAGTAACTCGGTCCACGAAAACTTAGGTAAAGGGGAAAAAATTCCAAGATTTTTATTCCACCCCATCTCGCCAATCTTGGGCATACCGCATACAATGCTAGACATATATATACATCTTTATACGCTTTAGTCCAGCAAAAAGCGGGCTTCAATGCATAAGTCATCGCTAAGGTTTATCTAATAAAAAGGCGACTATATATAGTTGTAAATACTCACATTTACAAAGATTTGGTTCAACTAATACTGGCTAACTTAGTTTTTGGATGAACTGAACCCAAGAGTTCGACATTGAACCAAAACTTTGATGCACATTCAATCCTATTATAGCACTCAAGTATCAAACCTTGAAGCAAATACCATATTCTCATGTCAAACACCGCTCCCAAGCAAAACCATCTCAAAATAACAAAGCAATTGGAGAACCAACAACAAAAAACCTTGTGAAATCCCACACGTGGGGTATGGGGAGGGTAACATGTACGCAGACCTTATTCCTACCTTATGAAGGTAGAGAGGCAACAAAGCAATTGGAGAAAAGGAACATAAAAAGAGACCATCCCAGAAACTTGCATTAGCAACATGATAATAGATTATAGAAGTCATAATGACCAAAAGTAGACCTGAGATCAGTGACTCAAGTTATTAACACTACAATCAGGAATACAAAGAAAGCAGATTGAAGTTGCTTCCTCTTGTTCCCATTTATTTCCATACGTTTATCGACTACATCTACTCGCATATCCATTACTTTATTGACTTATCTTCTGAAGGCATTGACTGACTGAGATGCCACTTCCTACTCGCTGTCAGTATCCATATATCCATACTCGGGTTGATCCTCTATCTCAGCAGGTGGAGCTTGCTTCCTCAGCTGAAACAACCAAATTGAGAGAGAGAAAGATTAAAACAATGACTAAAAATGCAAAAGATGAGGAACTTTTTATATGATATTTAAGAGAACCTTGAAGTAATTATCTAGTCTGAATTGCAAGAACTCATTCTCCTGCTTAATACGCTCAAACGCAATCTTGCATCTGTTTACATATCTGAAGTCAATACAATCATCTGCCAAAACTAAAGCCATAAATTTCCTACTTAGTTCTTACACTTCAAAATCTCCACGCTTTAGGTGTTCCCTCATGCAATCGATTTGATGCGTTACTTTTATAGCTCCCATACTGCAAACACAACAGAATAGACTCAGTTAGTAGACAATACTTTATTTTTTATTTTTTTTGACAAGGTAAAGATCTTACTAGGCAATACTAAAACAGAATTACAATAAGCCAACAAATTAGGAATGGAGTGGATGCTAATAAGAAAATGCTTTTAAATGTGAACATACCATTGGAAATAGGCAACTGTAGATAATTTTCACAAGCTGCCAAAGGTACCTCTCTTTACTTCCCCCATAAAGCATCCTACGAATGCAGGGTCCGGAGATGGGCCACACCCTAAGGGGTATGACGTAGGCAGTCTACCCTGATGCAAACATCCATGGCTGACCTATAGGTCACATGGAGACAACTTTACCGTTGCTCCAAAGCTCCCCTTCACACCCAACCCCCCCCCCCCTCCTTTCCCCCAACCCCACACAAAAAGGAACTAGGAAACAAAAAAAATAACAGGGAGAAAAAGGAGGAAACGATACATGAAGATGGAGAAACGAAAACACTCACCCAATGGCCATTCCCTTGAACCGATGAAGGAGGCTCTCTATAGAATGGGCATCGTAGGGAGGTCCTTGCCTGTATGCATACATATCAGACCTGTGAGGGGGGAAGAAGTTGAAAAAGAAAATTAGAGAAGAATACAAATACTTACAGTTCTGGCACCATTAAGTCAACAAACTTAGCTGCATCCTTGAAATAGTCAGCGCAAACATCCTCAAGATAGCCCTCATTGTTGGATTCCAAACGCTCCAGTTGAAGAAATTGCTGATCAAGGAGTTTCTGTATACAAACAAGCAGTTAATTTCCATTACGCATCTTTTCATTTTGAGTAGAAAGCTAATTTTTAGAAGTAGCGGTTCTAACAAACCGACATGTACAGAGATCCCTCAGCAATTCCAAGCTTTGCACACATCAAACTTGTTATTTAGAATGGATCATCATGATCGGGAGTCAAGAAAATTGCAAGGAAATCACATTTTGGGCACTAGATCTGCACGTTGTCCTTCATTTAAGGTTTTTTAGCTAAGTATCATAGTCCTTTGTCTATTAAAATGTTTCACAAAACTAGTCATTTTTTGTTTTTTCGCATCAAAAGTAGTAGATTTCCATCAAGGTACCATTTTACCCTGCTATAACGGCCACCTGAAGATGAATGATGGATAAAAGAAATAAAAAGGAAAAAAAACTGATCAAAAAGAGAAAGTAGGGCATAGGATCTGAATCAGACCTCGTCGAAAAGTGACTGCCTCAAATTGGCAATGAATCGAGCAAAATCGCTTGCCATCCTCGGTAGTATCGAGTTTCTTCAAAGCTAGGAGAGAGGATGTGAAGAGCATGAAACTCGGTGCAACAAAGCCTTGAACACGAGTACGTTTATATAGGGTTGATGATTCAATGGGATGATATACATGACAGTTGTACAATAAATGAAAAACGACGTAGATGTTTGAGCAAGTCATGCAGTTGCCACATTTGCAACCAAAACTGCAGTCATCTGCTTATCAAAACATCATGAAATTATCACTTCATTACTTCTATATAATCTAGGTAGATTTACCGTATCTACTCTTGTAATCGCATGAAATAAATAAGAGAGAGGTCCAGAAATCCTTATAATGAAATCGGTTTAGGATTCTCCAATTGATTTTCTTTGAATTAGTAAAATTCATCGAATGCACGAACCTTGCACGCACCAAGTTTTCCGAGAAATCCAAGGTCATCAAGCTCAAGGTTATATGGGATGATATACATGACAGCTGTACAATAAATGAAAAACGACGCAGATGTTTGAGCAAGTCATGCAGTTGCCACATTTGCAACCAAAACTGCAGCCATCTGCTTATCAAAGCATCATGAAATTATCACTTCATTACTTCTATATAATCTAGGTAGATTTACCGTATCTACTCTTGTAATCGCATGAAATAAATAAGAGAGAGGTCTAGAAATCCTTATAAAGAAATCTGTTTAGGATTCTTCAATTGATTTTCTTTGAATTAGTAAAATTCATCGAATGCACGAACCTTGCACGCACCAAGTTTTCCGAGAAATCCAAGGTCATCAAGCTCGAGGTTATTAAATAAGATAAAATGTTAAAGTCTTCCATTTCTACAAAATATCTTTTCGACCTTTGGAGAACTTCTTTCCTCTCCGGATTTTTTGTTCCATATTTTGCTGAATGCTTATATACAAAGTTTCCTAATGCATTCCTAGACAACATTAAACTATGCATTGAAATCACAAATTCAACCATTTTGATAGCTTCAGAAGCAGAATTTCATCTTATGGGTACTACCTATAGATAGTCTTCAGTCAAAATGACAACTAAACATTTTTCACTAAATAGAATTTGCACTAGCATTCAAAAAATATAAGTTAGAAATTATTCGATAACCCAATGTAGAGAAATTAATCAGAATCTACATCTCTTTATAACTAAACTAAGTCGAAGTGTAGCATAAATGAGGTGGTGAATTGAGAGGTATGATATGCTCAAACGACTTCATATACATTGCAGTTCTATGAGGTTTTCTTTTAACAGATGCGGTTATTTTGTAACCTCATAGAAAACTCTAAAGGATGTGGTTATTTTCTATGAGGTTTTCTATGATATGCTCAAACGACTTCATAGAAATTATGAGGTTATTTTGTAAAAACAAATCCAAGTTCAAGCAACAAGTCGGGGATTTACAGAGAAATGGTTTATGCAATGCTTGAATTCTCCACAAAAGGATGATAAGTTCATAACTACGTTTATAACGTCGTCGGTTTTCCAAACAAAACAATGAAATATAGAAGTCTATATAGAGAAACTTTTACTAACTGCCAGAAAAGGTAGGAAGTTTTCCAAGATTTTACGCGTCTTTGCTAATTCATAGGGATTTACCTCGACCAAGGGGTTCTGAGTTGAGAAACAATAGTACAACTAATTTCCAGGGGGTAAGCTCATGAATAAATACAGTGCAGAGATTGATAAGCTCGGAACTTGTATAACCTTATTATAAGGCTTCACCTTTAACTCTTTCTATCTATGATTTTTTACTTTATGATACTGCCACTTATAATCCAGAAAAATGAGAGATGTAAAGTGACAAAATCAAACCAAACCAAGAATATCCAATTCAAATGTAATAAAACATAATACTGAAGGAAATCGAAGTACCAGTAAAATGCTCACCATATAAGAACGATCAACTAAATCGGAACCCAACTTTTACATTATTGCCAAGAACTAAGCAGTAGAAAGTCTTATAGGGGTACTGAAAATATTGTCATATATTGGATCTTCTCTGAGATTTGTTAAAGGCATGCTTACATATAATGAACAAAGTTCGGTACATTTTCCCTTAGCGACGCCGTAAACTATATTCGATGCAGTTTCATCAACTATCTTTTCTTATATTGTTGCAAACTAATTGTGCTAGTGGGAGGCAGCAAGTATCCAGCAGAATAGTCGAGGTGAAGACACGCTGGCTCGCACACTACTAACTTTTTTGCTAATATTGAACATCAACTGTTCTTAATCATATTATTATGCTACAATGCACGTATTCATTTCTCATATAATAAGGAAACCTATACAACAATAATAACAACAACAACAACAACAACAACAAAAAAAAAAAAAAAAAGAATATTATAATCCCACAAATGGGGTTTGGGAAGGGTATTGTGTACGTAGACCTTTCCCCTAGCTAGAAAGTAGAGAGATTGTTTCTGATAGACCCTCGGCTCAAGAAAAGATGAAAAGAAAGCACTAGTAACAAGCGGTAACAACAACAAGATAATAAGAAAACGAAGCTAAAGGAACAACATGTAGTAGTATAAATCTACCAATAATAGAATACGAGACTAACACTAATACTACTAGTACAGGAAAGAGACACTCTCGACTACCTACTAGCCTTGTACCTTAATTATCGACCTCCACACTTCCCTGTCAAGGCAACCTATAGTTGTTAGAAAGATTACCAATATCCCTTCAGCTTCTTAAACAAAAGTGAGATTTCAAACATTTAACTACCAAAATGACTATCTCAATTTCTTGACAAACAATAATTGGAAAAAATCAGAGGTAAAAAATTCTAATATCAACTTAAATAATTAAGTTTACTATCCAGCCTCCTTTAATTACAGGCTTCTCTTCTCTTCTCCGTATCTTGACTTGGTTTGAAAGGTGACAGCAAAACGCATAATTGCCGAAATAGAAGTAGTAATGAGTAATGACTTAATTTCATTAAATAATTAAACTATGATAAAGGAAATGGAATTATAACTATAATTGCAATATGCTCTTTACCTGACATGGCAGGAGAGCAGTACCTGAATCTTTAAGCAAAAATGATCAACTTCATGTTTTGGAGGTTGGCCATTTTGAGAGATGATAGTTCCGAGTCTCGGCCTTAATGTCAACTTTTTAGGCTAGAACTGAAAACTAAGAGAGAGGGAGAAGGCCCATGTCTAGGGCTTAATGTGGGCCGAAGTGCAACAATAGCCACTTTTAAACCCGTTATTTAAAGTAACTTTAACCTCCTATAGCAAAGGTTAATACCTTATTTATTTTAAATAAATACCATTTTAAAAAATTATATTTTATAGATACCTTTTAATGTTTATAGCAAAATATCTAATTTTAGTTACCTCCTACTCCTAAGCCACTAAATACGCTACTAAGTTATACTATTTTCTTTCTCTCTCTACTTTAATACATGCCATTCTCTTCCCCATTCTCTGAAAATACGATGCTCAATCTCAAAATTCCTCTCATCCACATCACCTACCATTAGTCACAAACGGATTTAGAAAAGAAAATACAGCGACGGAAATATGCGTACGAAGAAGAAAACGGCGTCGGAGATAGCCGCCGGCGGCCGATGAAAGTGGACTGAGCAAGTGAACACTGGGAGGCTTTGAGAAGTACCCTAAGGCAAGTTGTTATGGATTGTTAGATGGAATTTCGAATAACTGTTTGCGTGAAAAGACTGCGAGTATATGGATGTTTGAGCTTCGGCCCAATTTTGGGGGCTTAATAATTGGCCAAATTTTAGGGTTTGTTCTTGAAAAAATACGACGGAGTTTGGGGCTGAGCAACTTGATTTTCTGTTAATATTTTTCATTGTAATTCAATGTATCTCGCTGTATTCCATGTATTTCATTGTATTCATAGTCTTTTTTTCCATTGTATTTCAATGTATCCCGTTGTATTCTATCTATTTCATTGTATTCACTGTCTCGCCATATGCCATGAATGTATTCATATTTTTTTTAATTAATATAATTTATGTATTCAGATGTATTATATAATTTCTCTGAAGATTGCTATGTTCTTGCGGTATTTATCGGTTGAGAATCTTTTTTATAACTGGAAATACAAGTTTTGTTTGTTGAGTTATATTAGGAGTCTATTATGTTAATTGATTCACTTTTCGTTTAAAAACAGTGTAATTCCCTGTTTCACACCGCGAATACAATCGAATACAGTTGAATACAATAATCTATCCAGCTGTAATCTCATGTTTCACGCCATGAATACAATCGAATACACTCGAATACAACAACTGATTAGCTGGACTTCCCCGATTCACGTCTATATTTGCTACTGTATTCATAAATACAGTAGCTTAAATACATCTAATACATCTTATAACAATAGAAAATGTATCTACAATCCGTAATATAGCAAATGGTATCTATAGATAGCTAATTACTACTAAAAAATAGTGCTTTATGAAAATTTATCTTATTCACTATCTTGGAAAATAGGTATTACAGAGATGCTGGAGCAAAACCATTATGGCCAATGTCAAGTGGCCATCATAATTCCCATAACTGTTAGCACAACGAGCCTAGAGGGGAATAGTTCAGGGGTGGATAGTATGAGATAGGGGAAGTTCTCTGTGGAGAGAACTAGCATATCGTTTTCGAGTCCATGCCATCAACAACTCCTCTCTTCTTAATTAAATTGGGATGAAGTAAAAATGGATAGTATGAGATAGGGGAAGTTCTCTGTGGAGAGAACAAAGAGGGGTTTTGGTGCAGAGAGGTGATGTGAGCATCGTTTTTTCAGGGAATGGGGGAAGAGAATGACATGTATCAAAGTAGAGAGAGAAAAGAAATAGTAAAACTGAATAGCGTATTTAGTGGCTTAGAGATAGGAGGTAACCAAAGTTAGATATTTTGCTATAAACATTAAAAGGTATCTATAGAATATAATTTTTTTAAATGGTATTTATTTAAAAAAAATAAGGTGTTAACCTTTGCTATAGGAGGTAAAAATTCCTAAAATATATTGATAATATATAATATATTTAAATATTAGCTAATTGTCACGACCCGGATTTTCCACCCTCGGGAGTCATGATGGCGCCTACTAATGAGAGCTAGGCAAGCCAATTTTAATTACCTTTCCATTAATAACATAATTCCTTATAACCATTATCGGCAATAATACAAAAGTAACGAAATTAAATAATAAGCGGAAGTCTCAATATTATAGAAAACTGAATTAAAAATGCGGAAAATCCCAACAAAAGCCTCTACCCAAGACTGGTGTCACAGCTTCACAGACGGTCTAAGAATACTACACATAAAGGTCTGAAAGAAATAAACTCGACACTGTCTCCAGAAATACATGAAGGAAACAAGAATATAGATGAAAGGAGACGCCAGGGCCTGCGAACGCCTGCAAGGCTACCTCGGGTCTCGCTGGACTGAAAGCCTGCTCTCACACGACTGCTGCTGCCGTCCGTAGCCTGGGTCTGTGCAAAATAGCATAGAGTGTAGTATCAGCACAACCGACCCCATGTGCTGGTAAGTGCCTAGCCTAACCTCGGCGAAGTAGTGACGAGGCTAGGACCAGACCACCAAATAAACCTGTGCAGTTATATATATACAAGTACAACGGAGAAGTAGCAAGAAATTAACAATTTAAGCTGGGGAAGGGAGCATGCTTCAGGGGAAACAGTTAGAAATAAAATATCAGGATTAATAAAGAGTACATCTCAATTTAACTTCTAGCGATAAATGAAGAGATAAGGCCACTTTCATATCCAACTCATCTTGTTGCAGGCGTGCAACCTGATCCCATTTCTCAACATCTCGTGGTAGGCGTACCACCCGCTCCCATTTCAATTAAATCAACAGTTACTCCACAAGAAATTTACTCTAACAAACGTAACAAGTAATACGAGTTCATAAGACAACAAGTACACGAAACTTATGATTCACTAAGGAAAACAATTAATGACAAGTAACACGATAAAGGGAAATGTCAACGTAAAGAATCACGGAAATAATGGAATAAGACAAGTAAACAATATGGGAGGGGGAGCATGCTGTGGGGAGGAAACAATATTAATAGTAAATCCAGAATAACAATCTAAGGGCAGCTTGGAATTTACAGCGGACAAGAAACTAATCCCCAAAATAAACACACTTGTATCAATAATTGTTGCGGCGCGCAACCCGATCCCAATATATAACAACACTGTTGCGGCGTGCAACCCGATCCATAAATATCATTGTTGCGGCGTGCAACCCGATCCATAAATATCATTGTTGCGGCGTGCAACCCGATCCATAAATATCACTGTTGCGGTGTGCAACCCGATCCATAAATATCATTGTTGCGGCGTGCAACCCGATCCATAAACTATCAATTGTTGCGGCGTGCAACCCGATCCATAACTAATCATTTAACATTGTTGCGGCGCGCAACCCGATCCACAAATATCATTCAATGCACGGTATCACCCTTCGTGCTTTAACACTCTTCCTCACCCAATCAACAATCACAAACAAGGGTAAGGAAAATAATAAAACAAGAATAGAAGTCCCGGCAAGGGTACACAACAACAATTTAAAGACCCGGCAAGGGTACAACATCAATAACCAACAACATCCCGGCAAGGGAATAAATCATTAACTCTTTTCTTTCTTTCACTTTCATCTCATAGTTCACATTATCACTTGAGCCAGTGCTCCAAAGAGTTACTTATCTCATAAACCTTCACAATTTGTATTTCAACCCGAGCCAATGCTCCACGAAGTTTCAAGACCACAATTTCTTTCACAAGGTCTTTACAACATATAGAAGTCATCAATTAAGCATGGAAGGCATATCAACAACCAAACTATTCGCAAAGTAAGGACTCACGGTCATGCTAGACACCAATGTATAGATACTCGTCACCATGCCTATACATCATACTCGAAAATTAGCAAGCATCAAATAAGACTCAACTCCTATTCCCTCAAGCTAGGGTTAAACCAAACACTTACCTCGATGCCTTGAATTCCACTCAAACCTCAACTATCGCTTTACCCCGTGATTTCACCTCCAATCCGCTCGAATCTAGCCACAAATTACTTAATTACTTTAATAAACACTAAATGAATCAATTTGAATGCATAAAAATGAATTTTCCAAAGTTTTTTCCAAAATTTCCAAAATCGCCCCCGGGCCCACGTGGTCAAAACCCGAAGTTCGAACCAAAATCCGGTTACCCATTCCCCCACGAACTCAAATACGCAATTTGTGTTAAAATAAATCCCCAATTTATAGAAAACCTAGATTCTACCCAAAACCCCCAATTTCACCCATGAAAACATGTTAAATGATATAAAAGATTGAAAGAAATGAGTAAAAACCAACTTACAAATGATTTGGAAGAAGTCTTGTTCTTGGAAAATCGCCCAAAGAGTTGTATTTTGAAAGTAGGGTGAAAAATGACTGAAAATTCGACTAAGTATGAAATATGCTGGGCTGCAGTTATCGCAATTGCGAACAGGGGTTCGCAATTTCGAACCCCGACCAAATTATGGGAATTGCGAACTCTAGTTCGCATTTGCGAACTCAGGCCTATCAGGGGACCTTCGCATTTGCCAAAAAGGTCTCGCATTTGCGAACCCTGGACCTTCGCATTTGCGGAGAATGATTTCGCATTTGCGATCATAGTCAGGCCTGGGCTGGTTTGCATTTGCGAACCAGCCTTCGCATTTGCGTGAGCTGGACCTTCGCATTTGCGAATACTGGCTTCGCAAATGCGAAACCTGCAGATCAGAGATACCAGATTTTTCAAAAATGCAAAAATGCAATTCGACACCTATCTAAAACTCACCCGAGCCCTCGGGGCTCTAAACCAAATATGCACACCACCTCAATAACATCCTACGGACTTACTCATGCGATCAAATCGCCAAAATAACATCAAAAATAACGAATCAACCTCAAAATCACAAATTTTTCCTCAAAC